CTTTCCCATTTGAACATTTTCTCATTTCTTTCTTTTTTTCTTTTTTTTTTTTGAGATAGGGTTTCCCTGTGTATCCCAGGCTGGCCTTAAACTCCTGGTGATCCTCCTGCCTCAGCCTCCTGAGTGCTGGCATGCACCACACTGTCCAGCTAGTATTTAAACTTTTTGTATGCCCGAAATATCACACAGCACTTTTGTTCTCTCGTGCCTAGGGCTTGACCCTAGGCCCGGGGCCTTCACACTGGACCACATCTCCAGACTTGATTTTTTCAGGACAGTCACTAGGTGGCCCAGGCTGGGATCAAGCTTGAGTCTTTCTGGCTCGGCCTCTCAAGAGCACTGGGGTTACAGATGTGCAGCATCACGCCCACTAACCTGGGGTACTTTACAGGACATCTGCTCTAGCTGCAGAAGTCAGCGCCATTGACGGTGCTGCCCTAAATTAAAAAACCATGGAGACAACAACGAAATACAATATATGAACCTTGCCTGGAGCAGGACTGTTCTTAAATGTTTCCTTGGTCTTTTAAGACAAGGTCTCCCTGTATAGTACAGCATGACCTGAAGCTCACTATGCAGACAGGCGATCCTCTGACTTAGAGCAACCTCCCTGCCTCAGCCTCCTGAGCGCTGACATCACAGGTATGTGTCACCAGCTAGACACGTCTTTCCTTTTTGTTCAGGCACTGGCATTGAACTCGGGACTTGCACTTGCCAGGCAGGTACTTATGCCATTGAGCTATATATTTTTTTTAATTTTAGGGATGGGTCTAGAGGGTGTTCAGGTCTCACTACTAGAACGGACTCCTAAGTGATCCATTCTCTCGCGCCTGGGGCTTGACTCTGGGCCCGGGGCCTTCTCACTGGACCACATCTCCAGACTATTTTTTCAAGACAGTCACTAAATCTTACAGCCTCCTAAGAGCCAGGATTGTAGGTGTGCCACCACGCCCAGTCTCAGTTGCCTCTCAGTGTGCCCCCGGGCAGGGCTGGCATGGCAGGCCTGGGATCAAACCCTTGGCCCTTGTGCCTGCTCGCAGGCGCTTTAATCTGCTGAGCTATTTGGCCAGCCCATGATGAGAGGTCTTCCCAGCACCGGGGCATGTTTTATTTATTTAGTACAGAGTCTTGCTACATATCTCAGCCCTGTAGTGATCCTGTCTCAGACTCCCCGGCACTAGAATTACAGGCAGGCGCCACCAGGCCCAGTGTCTGCAGCTGGCTCGGCGCGGAGCCTGAATGGCATGTGGTACTGGGGATCACACCCAGGTTCTTGGGCTCGCCGGGCAGGCACTTAGACCGCAGAGCTATCTCCCAGGCCCCAGGACTTTTTTTTTTTAATATTTTTTTTGTGTTTTCCCTGAGCTCACTTTGTAGCCTAGGCTGTCTCAAATTTGCAACGACCCTCCTGCCTCAGCCTCCTAGGTGCTAGGATTACAAGTGTGTGCCACCAGGGGGGCATGTTCTTTTTTTTTTTTTTTTTTTTTTTTTGCGGTACTGGGGATTGAACTCAGGACCCTGTGCTTGCCAGGCAAGCGCTTATTCTACTGAGCCATCTCCCAGCCCCAAGGTGGGCATGTTCTTTAACATTTTCTAAAAGACATTTTGAGACAACCAAAGAAGCCTAAATAGGCGCTGTGTACTGTGCGATGACAAAACCACTGCTGATCTTCTGAGGCGTGTTTAACTGTGCAGTGAGTATGTAGAACAGCCCATGATAAGGCTGCGAGAGGGATGAAGTGATCATGTTTGCAACCTGCTTTCAAATAGTTTTCAGGGCCGGGGAATAGCTTAGTGCCGGGGAATAGCTTAGTGGTATTAGCGTCTGCCGGGCAAGCGCAAGGTCCTGAGTTCGATCCCCGGTACAAGCACCTGGCACTTGGGTGGCTGAAGCCAAAGGATGGTTTTTTTTTCACCAATTATTTCCAGGGTATGCACATAGGTATGACACCAGTTTTTTTTTTGGTGGAACCAGGGATTGAACTCAGGCCCTTGTGCTTGCCAGAGAAGCACTTATTTCACTGAGCCATCTCCCTGGCCCCCCCCCTTTTTTTTTTTTTAATTTTATTTGTGTGTGTGTGTGTGTGTGTGTGTGTGGCCAGCTCAGCCCACCAGGGGGCGGGGCTGGCTGGCATGTGGTGCTGGGGGATTGAACCGTGGTCCCTGTGTTTGTTAAGCTTGTTCTAAGTAGGTGCTTTAGACCACTGAGCCATCTCACCAGCCCCGGTATGACACCAGTTTGGAAGGATGGTAATATCCTGAGTTCAGCGATCAGCCTGTACAAGGCAACAAGATTTTATTTTATTTTATTTTATTTAGCGGTACCAAGGATCAACTCATGACCTTTTGCTTGCCACGCAGGTGCTTATGCCTGAGCTCTGGCAAGGCAATAAGACTGACTTTAAAAAATAGGAGGAGAAAGAGGAGAAGGAGGAGGAAGAGGAGGAGGAGGAAGAAGAGGAGGAGGGGGTTGTTTGTTGCTGGGTATAGTAGTGCATGCCTGTAATCCCAGCGTTCAGGAGGCTGAGGCAGAAGGATTCCCTGCAGAATTTGAAGCCAGCCTGGGTTACACAGTGAGTTTGATACCAGCCTAGACTACATGTTGAGACCTGGCTAAAAAATAAATACATAAATACATAAAAACAATCAATCAGTTGATCATTAAATAAAATGCGACGCAGATCCCGCGTGGTGGTGCATTCCTGTGGCCTGGTTACTGAGGAACTCAAGGCAGGATGCTGACCTGACTAGACCTCAGTGATTTGAGGGGACTTTGATGCTAACTGGGATGGGGCTAGTAGAGCAGGAGAGACTGAAGAAACATTATTCTGGTTACATCTGAGTCATCCCTGGGGACAAACCCCACAGAGAGCTAAGATTCTCCAGAAACTGTTCTCCACCTGCTCCCCCTGCCACCTAGTACTCCAGAAGGTAGTCTTGGTGGTGACACCTAGCGGACGACAAGGGCACTGCCCACAACCCTCTGTGCGGCCCCAGCAGGGTACTTCATGGCGCTGGGCCTCCCGGCCACTCTGGGTACACAACAGGAAGGGCACAGGGACAGGCAGAGGTGCTGCGGGGGGCTGTCTGGGTTTGCAGCCAGAGCTGCAGACTCGGGGACTTGCTCACTGTGGGTCCCAGGGCTGGGCTGCTGGGCTCTCTGAGCCTCTGGGGAGCTCCTCTCTTCACCTGGGCAGAGCTGTGAACAGGACCAGCCTCCAGGGCGCAGGGGCCAAGTGCCTGCTGTGGGCCAACACTTGACCTCCCCCCTGAGGACAGGTTTTGTTTCTAGTCCTTAGAATCCAACTCAGGCCTCTGAGCTGTATCCCCAGCCAGGCTTGTTTTTGAGACAGGGTCTCACTATATGTATCAGGCTGTCTTGACCTTGCAGGCTGGCCTCAAACTTGCAGCGACCCTCCTGCCTCAGCCTCTGCAGTGCTTGGATGATAGGTGTGCACCACCACGCCTAGCAAGAGGACGGCTCTCTGACGTGAGGACAGCCGGAGGAGGAACAGGTCAGCCTGTCTTGGCAGGGCAGGGAACAGGACGGGGCCCCTGCTGTCTGCATTTACCCATCTCTCAGGTCCTCTGTGGGAGCTACTAAGTCTCCTCTTCCACTTCCCACTGTCACATGCACATGCCACCAAACCCCCAGGAAGACACCCACTCTGCCGCGTTCCCGCTGGTGACAAGTCTGCTGAGGGCTCTCTGTGCCCTGCCCAGCCTCGGGGACACAGACCAGACAGCAGGCCATTGGTTCCCAGACTTTATCAGCTTTTCCTCCCCACAGCGGGTCCTTTGGGAGCAAGTGGGTCTGCACCACTCACAGGACTCCCCTGTTGGGCCTGGGGCGCAGCTGGGGCTTTGGGGCTGGGGCCTGCAGGTGGGGATATCCCAGGATGTCCGTAGATGCTTCTGCACCTGCAGGCATTTCATTTCAGAGGAGACAGGAAGTCAGAGACTGCCATATAAAAGGGACTGTACACGTGACCTATGATACAGTGTTTACATATGATACAAGGCTTTGTCCCTCTTTTGGGGTTTTAAAAAATAAATTTACAATTCCAGAGCTTTGGGTAAAAAACATATATACAGGTCAGAGCAGGAGCGGAGCAGCAGCTGCCCCGGATGTGGCGCTGACACCTCTTCATCTCCAAAGGGAAGATAGGCTGGTAGGAAGAAGGGGGCCCACCCTCTGAGGCCTCACTGCAAGCTGCCCAGGCCCTGAGCCCTCTGTCCTGCGCCCTCCAGGCCTTGCCAGGGTCCAGCTTCACCATCACAGCCTCTGCCACCTCCAGCCCCCACTACCCTACCTTGGGGAGCTGCCTGCCCACCTGCCTCAGCACTGTGGGGAGCAGGAAGGGGGATGAACAGGGAGGGACAGCACTGGGGAGCAGGTGCCTGCTCAGGCTCTGCTATACCCCAGCTGCACAGCAGAGCAGAGCAAGGGTCCTACAGGCAGCCCAGGCTTGCCCTCCCTGAGCACACCCTCTCAGGGGTCCCCCTAGGGACCAGGGGCGCTGGGGCTCACAGAGAGCTGGGAACCCTACCCCGCTCCACCCCAGTAGAGGCTGGTGCAGTCAAGGGTAGCACCGAACAGAAGGGGCCCTTTCCCTCCACCACACACATGCGTGCACACGTGTGTGCACACGCACGCACACACAACAATGTTTGGGGGCACAATACTCAGGACTGTATCCCTGACCCAAGAGAGGCCAGGCAGAGGCGGGAAAGGGAATTCACTCTGAGCGCAGGAGGCCGCTCCTGCCTGCCTGGGAGAAGAGGCCAGAGCTCCACCTCTGAGTCACAGCTGGCTGGGTGAGGACTGAGGAAGGAGACCTTCGCCTCCTGCAGGCATGGGACAGGGTTCCGGCAGGACGATAACGAGTCTCCAGAAGCCCGTCCCACTCAGCTGCTCATGGGAGACACCTGTCACAGGCTGGCAGGGACATGATACAAAGTGCTTGGGAGCCAGGAGCCAGGAGCCTGTGGGGTAGCCCTCACTGGCTGTTGGCCTCCAGCTTGTAGGAGAGGTCGAAGAGGAGGTTCTGGTTGTCGATGACCTGGAACTGCCGCACGTAGGCCTTGGTCTGCAGGTGGTGGGGCGAGGCCTCCATGTCCAGGCCTGAGGTGGGGACAAATGTCAGGCAGGGACTCCCCAACCCAGCCCTTCCCTCTAGAGGGAGCCGCAGGGACTCACAGAGCGGCCGGCTGCGGTACTTTCGGATTGTCCTCACTTTCTCAGCTACTGAGTGCTGCAAGACACAAGAGGTCACCCTGAGAAGGGCCCAGGAAGCCGTGCGCCCCACACCCCCTCTCTGCTCTGCAGCTCCCGTTTGGGTCTCTGAGGGTCAAGTGGGGACAGGCCAGGGACTGGAGGCAGCATGGCCCCCTCTGACTGTGGCATTGTCACCTGTGGGAGGGTTGTCACAGCAATGCTGGGAGGCGGGGAGGGTGCCAGGTGCACTGGGCACAGAGGTGACAGGAGGGGGCCCTGAGCGGGCAGCACCACTCACCAGCTTCTCCACGTTCACCAAGCCATCCACCAGGGTCTTGCTGCCCTCGTGCAGGAAGGTCAGGTCTGCGGATAGACACAGTCAGACACCAGCACTCAGATGTGAAGGGGAGACCCTGAAGCCCAGGACAGTGCCAGGGGCAGAGTGGGGACAGCGCAGTGCCGGCAGGAGGGACACACTCACCCTTGAGGATCAGAGGCACGAATGGGATCACGGGGGGCTTCATCTTGGACAGGACTTCCCGGTAACTTTTGTGGTTCCGGCAGGGGTCCTAGGGATCCATGCAAACGGTCAGGGGCATGTGGGCTGAGGGGTGCCCGCCCCTGCCTTCCCTGGACAGGCAGGGCGCACACGTGCAGTGGGGGTGGGGGCACCTGCTCCCCCCTCCTCTCCGCCCTCGCCAGACGTGCAGATGGCTGATAACAGAAGGATGATGTCCCGGCAAGGGCAGGGACAGGCCCACTCACCGTCAGATTCTCGAATTTGCGGAACAAGTTCTTGAATTTCCCTGGTAGCTTCTGCAGCAAGGGAAGGAAACAGGCATCAAGAGTTAGAGGAGGGGGTTAGGGAAAAAGAAAAAAAGTTAGGGGAGGCGGAGATGATAGCTCAGTAGAATAAGCGCTTTCCTGGCAAGCGCAAGGAAGGGCCTCAGTTCAAACTCCAGTTCCATTAAAAAAAAAAAAAAAAAAAGAACAAAAAACCCCAAAACCAAATGCTGACCTCCCTAAAGATTGGCATCCAGCCCTGAAACCCAACCTCCCACTGAGGCTGTTTTTGCTTCATTTCTGAGATAGTCTCTTTCATGTAGTTGGGGTTGGCCTCGATCTCGAGGCA